GATTACATCTCAATGTAAAGAAAACAAAAATCCTCACCACTGGACCAATAAACAACATTCTTAACAACAGAAAAGATTGAAGTTATCAAGAACTTCATTCTTCTTGGATTTTACAATAGAGGCCTCATATAATATTTTTCATTTTGTGATTGACTAATTCCCCTTAGCATTATGTCCACCAGCTTCATCCATGATATGAGGTGTTTCACAGATTCATAGTTATTCTTCAACATTACATGGATTCCATTGTGTGTATGTATCAAAGTTTGTTTATCCATTCTTCCATTGATGGGCAATTAGGCTGTCTCCATCTTTTTGCTATTGTGAATGGTGCTTCAATGAGTATCTATGTGCATATATATACTTGTGTCCTGGCTCTTGTGGATATATACAAAGTAGAGGGGTTTCTAGGTCATACAATATTTCTATTTCCAACTTTCTGAGGAAGCACCATAAAATTTTCCAGAGTGGTTGACACATTTTACTGTTCTACCAGAACATTACTGTTCTGAGTCTCTTTACACCCTCACCAGCATTTGGTGTTTTCTGGGTTTTTTTTGTTTTTGTTTTTAACTTATTAATGCTATTAACACTGGGGTGCAGTATCTCATTGTTGTTTTTATTTGCATCTCTTTAATGACAAAGGATCGTGAACATTTCTTCATATGTTTGTTGACTGCCTGAATGTCTTCCTTGATAAAGAGTCTGTATAAATTTTGTGCCCATATTTTAATTGAGTTGTATGTCCTTGTAGAGGTGTTACAGTTTTCTATAAATATTAGAGATTAGCCCATTGTCTAATACGGTGTTGTAAAAAATTTTTACTTCTAGTCTGTGGGCTCTCTTTACTCTTTTGGTGAAATATTTTGATGTACATAAGTTCCTGATTTTTAGGAGGTCTGAGTCATCTATTTTGTCTTCTACTGTTTGAGTATTTTTAGTAATGTTTGATAACTTACTTAGAACCCCTAAGTTTGTTCCTAGTTTTCATTGGTGATCTTTATGGTTCTAGGTTTTACATTTAGGTCTTAATCTACTTTGAGTTTGATTTTGTATATGGTATAAGAAGTGGGTCTTGTTTAATTCTTCTGCAAATAGATTTCCAGTTTTGTCAGCACCATTTGTTGAAGAGACTATCTCTTCCATGGCCCTTTTTCTAATAAGCTGACTGTATATAAATGGATTTACTTCTAGGTTCTCAATTCTGTTCCATTGGTCTATGTTATCTTTTGTACCAGTACAAAACTGTTTTACAACAGTGGCTGTGTAGCACATTTTGATATCAGGGAGTCAAAGGCCACCAACTTTGTTCTTCTTCTTAAGCAATGCTTTGCTTATCTGAGGTCTCTTTCCTTTCTATTTAAATGATCAGTTTTTCCATCTCTTTAAAGAATGATGTTGGAATCTGGATTTGGGCTGTGTTATATCTATAGATTGCTTTGGGTAGTGTTGACATTTTCAATGTTAAATCTTCCTATTCATGAGCATGGTATATTCTTCCATTTCTGTAAGTCTCTTTTGGTTTCTTGTAGTAGTGTTTTGTAATTTTCTTTGTATAGGTCTTTTGCTTCTCTGGCTATATTTATTCCTAAGTATTTAATCTTTCCACCACTCGTCTGTCAGTTTGTTGTACTGTGGTGGCTTGTGAGTTGCTGTGATTCTGGAAGCTATGCC